AGAGTCATGGAGCAGCTTGATTTCCTGTGATCCAGAGTACTGGGATGTTCTCCATGAGTCCAACATCAATGCTAGCACAAGCACTGGCAGAGGCCTTGGCTGTGGCCAGTTTTTACATCCTGTCCTGTCTAATTTGGATACCCAGACTGAGTGATTGACACACTGAAGTTAATTCTCACCTTCCTGCTTTGTTGTGGAGACAGTTAGGATTTCCAGAAACAAGTAATTAACTTACAGAGGGAAAACCAAACAAAGCTCTGATTGGAAATCAGGAGGATGTGTTCCTTTATACTGCAGTGTTGTTTCCTGGGAAATAGTTATTCTTCATGTAAAATGACAGCAAAGTCAAGCAGTGGCTGCTGTCACAGCCTGTGGCATCCCTCTTTTGAGCTGAGCTAACCACCAGGTGCCAAAAGCAAAACCCAGTGACAGCTGTCTCCTCTCCTCTGGTCTTGTTAGTCCTCTTAGACACCAACAGCTCCTCTGAGAACTTGGAGGGCAATGTTTATCTTGACTTAACAGCCAGGAACAGACATGATGGCAAGAACAGATTCCTCTCTGGTCCCTGGATCTCGGGTTTCTGCCAAAGGCTTGGCTAAATCCCTTGGTATTGCTCACCGTAGTATGTAGGTTTTGAACAAACCCAGGCTGTGGGGTGTGGAGCATGGCAGGCAGCATCCCTGAAAGCTCTTAGACCAAAGAAATCCATGTGTCAGAGGCATGGAGATACAGATCAAGGTTTTGGACCTCTGATAGAGGAGCTGCAGATTTAGCCTTGAAATGTAGTTACGTATTCGAACCATTTTTCATCCTGGTTGGCAATGCTGATGCTATAGTGCTTTGGAAGATGAAAAACATGCAGCAAAACCTTTCAGAAGCTCTGGAAAGTGAAAAACAAATGCAGGAAAATCTTTCAAGACAGGCTTTTTGTGGTGGAAGGCCATGGTTTATAGGAAATATTATCCTCATCAAGGAACTCTCTGGTGCTGCTCTCCTGGACCCTGCAGCATGCCTGGAACACCAGTGGGAAGTCAGTTTGGAATTTGTGAATAGTATTTTAAGGCTAATAGCTAGAAGTAAGTCTGAAATTCAGATCTGAGCTTCCTCAAAGTACAAGAAAGCTTTGGATTTGAGGCTTTGACTCCTACTAGGCAAGCAAATTTGCATAAAATAATACAGGATTTGGTGCAAATGCAAAAGTTAAGGACTGTAAAATAGTTGATGTAACTTTCTTCCCTGATTATTTTTTCTCTGTTTTCATAAAATCATAGAATCCACTGGGTTGGAAAAGACCTCCAAGATCGAGTCCAACCCTACCATGGTTACTAGCCCATGGCACTAAGTGCCACATCCAGT